CAGCATGGTGTTTGGACGATGGTCCGTTTTGGTGAGCCTCAATCCCATTATGTGGATTAGGTGCGAGTAGCTGGTTCCAGGCGGGAATCAGTGAAGCGTTACCTATGATGATGGTGACAAATTTTGGTGTGCTTCGTTCCTATGGTGATGGATCAAGAGCGGTGAACCTGAGAATTCACATATTAGTACCACATGTATTGAGTCATTGGTGTTGAGTCTCAGTGTTGTTGCATGTTGTTGTTATTACATAATTGATATGCAAATTGGTGTTTTGATTTGGGTGGAAGTGTAAATGGTGAATTGGGTGAATATGCATGAAATAATTTGTTACCTACTTATTATTATGCATTCCTTTATATTATTGTGATATCTCACCCTTTCTGTTTAAATGTTGTCTCCACGTGGATAACACGCATGTGATCCGCAGTGAAGGTGTGGATGAGTTTAGAAGAGAGTGCTAATCTTTATTTATTTCGTCGATGTCAGTGTCTACTCTGATATGTAACACTGGGGGTTGAACGATTTTGATTTGTTATGCTATGTTTTCAGAGATTTTGTGATATCTCTTATGTTACAATTTATAATTACTTTATGACATGAATTGTTTTTGAATAAGGATTTCAATATTTGTTGATGTTTTCCATTGCAATAAAATGAAGTTAGATATGATGATGTTTATTATAGTTATTATTAATAATTTCAAAGTTGCATGTGTTACATATTGCTATAAATGAGCATGTTATTGTATTGTTGAATGTGACATCCTAATTGGGTAAAGTTTTTAATTTTACTTTGATTTTTATTTATAATTATTCGGGGGGTGGGGGGGGGTTGGGGGGGGGGGGGGGGGGGGAAATAGGGTGCTACAGCAAGCGCCATGATAGCCAATCTTGATGTTTTCCTCAGTTTTTTATTGTTTTGTCCCGTTTTCTTGCACGGAAAACTCCTACTCATTTAATACCTGAAATAAACACAAAATACCAGTATACCATAATAAAAAGGAAACATAAACATAAAATTCCATGTGAATCGAGTCAAAAATGTGATATGTTTTCTGGTTATCAAGGATACGTAGGAGGGAGATGCAACGTATCATCACACACCTTAATAAAAAACCTATTTTTTAGTCCTATATTTCTCTTTGTAAATATCATGCATAATAATTAGAATATTGCAAATAACATCATACTAACACTCTTTCGCAAAACTAACTAAACGGTTTCTATTGAGTACAACATATGTGAGGGTTGATAATACATTCCTTTTGCATAACTAACTCTCGAACCCTAATTTGGTTGTGACGACCATTACTTTTTTTTAAGGGTTTTCACGATATTTTCTATTTTCTTTTAGAATAAATAAACTTCGGTGACGAATCTATTGTATTTCAAGCGTTCCTTACGCTCAGGTATTTTTGCATCGCGACACATACTAACTATGTGGGTTTTGTATCATTCTTGCTATTACTTGGTATATTTGAAGTCGTGAGTCTGATCAAGGCATTATGTGTTATTGATTGAAAAACTACTTGACAAAAAATTCTACCTTGTGAGGGTGTGATCCATTGACAACTCCTTTGAGCCTGAAAATTGAAAATTTTGTTCTTTCAACATTACAACCCTTGCCAATTCTAAAAAGAAAATAAATATTCACCACCTTATCTTAAGGATAGAAAAACACTAAAAGATGCAAGGGTATGAAGAATAATAAAGTTGGGGAGAAAAAGAAAAAAGTTTTGAAAAATTAAGTAGTAATTGGTGAAAAGAGAGAAAAGAATACATTTTGACAAAAGAAAAATAATAAAAAAATCAAATGTCAAAGCATATAAAAACAAAAGTCTCCAAAACAAAGTGGAAGAAAAAAAGAAAAAAAAACATTTTTGAAAAACTAAATGATATACTAAAAAGAATTTTATCTCTTATCTTTAGATTATTTGAATCCAAAGAAAAAGCAATTTTTTTTGTAGCCCAACCACGTTACAACCAAAGGAAAGACCTTAGTGATCCATGACTGATGATTATCTTTTGATATTGCTTATATGAAATGGAAAATGTTTCAATAATTTATGAATTGTCCAACAAATAAGGAAACACTGAATCTTTTTTAGAGATAAATCAGTGAGAATATGATTATGATGATAAATTAATTGTTGATCTAAACATGTTTTGAAATATTATTGTGAAAAAGAAAGATTTTCATATTTATGCCATGATTTGACAATAATTATAATGTTGATTATGAAATTGAATTATAAAAAGAATCATGTAATAAAACAATAATTTTTCAAAAATTCCTTATCAAGTCATTTAAATATCTTTTGAAACATGCATTTTGAACTTTTTCTTAACTACTTGATTGGATTTTGTTTGAGGACAAACAAAAAGATAAGTTGGTAAAAATTGATAATTTTCATAAATACGTTAAATATGCATGCACTTATTAACTTTTTTTTACAAGAAATAAAATTAAAACCCTTGATTTATCAATGAAAAGTGATAAAATGCATGTCTCAACATTTTAACTGGGCATTCATTAAAAACTGACAAAAAGGATCCAGAAATCATCAAAACAACACAAGATATCAAGTCAAGAACTTTCCCAACAAATCAAGGTTTGCTAAGCCAATAATACATGCACGCTTAGCAATCAAAGGTACAAAATCACTAAGGTAGGAAACACATGCACACCTAGCGAGCAAAGGCCGTTCAAAAGACTTCGGGGTTAAGCTACTTCAATGTGAAGGAAGAGTTTGATGGCTAAGCGAGTGTGAGCGGTGGGTTTAGCGAGTATAGGCGGCAAGACTAGTCCCACGGTAGTTGGCATTACTTAACCTAGAAGAAAGAAGGTGTACTAAGAAAGCTTACCTTTACTAACCCTATAAATAGGGGTGAAAGACAGTCATTTAGAGATATCAAAATTCAATGGATTCAATGTGGTTGCTCGAGAAATCAGACCTCACCATAAATACTATAAGAGAGAATAAGGGAGAAAGATTGAGGGAGGAAGCGTTTGTTGAGGAATCATCAACATTTGCTTTCCAACTTTTTCTCCTAAGGATTGATTGTAAAGCTACAATGAGTAAGCATAATTAATTTTCTCTTTTATTGGGGTTAGATGTAGTTGTCCTATTACTTATGTTTTGATCCTGACCATGGAGTTTTGTGTAATTATTCTTAAGTATTAATATTGATGGACTCTTTGTTCTTAATACTTTATTTTGGATTAGCTACTTAAAACTTGTTTTAATGGTTTGAGTTGATATTCGAAAGGTATTGGTAATTACTATATCCAATGTTGTCATCTATTGGAAGCTTAAGTATAAACATATATTTAAGTTTAATATCCACACACACTATTAATGTTGATGAAGTGATCATTAATATCCATAGTCATTATTGAAACTTAATGTTGACGTATTAGTTAGTAAGCTGAGAGAATCATTATTAGGTAATATGGTTGATCTCACGTCGTTGACTCAGACATGAGTTGCAATGAGGGTCTTAGACGGTAATATTAATAACTGATTCAAATTGCATATTACTGGTCAAAGGTGTTACATAAAACATGTCAATGAAGTCTAACCCCAACAAAGTTTTCTCACTGTTGAAACACCGAAAATCTACTTTTGTATTATGCTATTTTACATACTTAAAGTAATAAAAACTATTAAACGGTCTTTGAAACACAACCAATCCACGTGGAGACGATAAAAAATGCACTTTCTATCTACACTGCAACAATTACCAAGTCAGTAATTTTCTAAATTGCATTACCATTGGGGTTGATAACGACACAATTTTAGGATTTTAGGATTTTTCTATATATTGTTAAACATGTTTAGTCATTAGGGTTTCGAATTTTCATGAGACAAAGGCATATTCTAAAGACACGGCGTGTAAGAAACGAGAACTACCATTAAAGAATCATCCATAATCATTGTAAGTTAAGTTTATTTTCTTAATTTTATTTGTAATAGCCACGAATTTCTTAAGGATGAATGACTAGTTTCTATCGATTAGGTTCCTCTACACAAATTTGTGAACCTTGTAATCCATTAAGTTTATTCCTTGTAAATGAATCTTCTCTTAAAATTAGTAAAAAAAAAAAGTATAATGCTTTTCTTTCATCTACTGAATTGGTAGAAACGATATAGATAGCAACCAGAAATAGTTGTATATTTGCATAATTAAATAGGATTGTAGAATTGTTTATGATTACTAGAGATAGAATATATTCAGTTATGACATGAAATATTTTACATGTGATAAACCTTTTTATAATTACTTGAGGATCATTGAGATAATAGTAAAAATGAAGAGGATTACTCGACGATTAAATCGTTAATAACTATTTTAAAACACTCGTGATTAAAGAGAAAGATCATTACAAGTTCAAACATGTATACACACAAAGATTTCGAAGGAGAGACTTAATTGTTTCTCTTATAAATTAATTTAGTTTAACTATTCTTGTAGTTATAGCCCAACTAAATCAATTGCGCCCCTAGTTACAATTAGATTTCATTACACTTCTGATAAATATGTGCACTCTCTTCGATCTTGTCGAATTAACAATAATTTATGTGAGTATAATTAAAATATACCAACACTTTATGATTTTATCGACACAAGTGTATTCGGCAATTGAACACGCTTTAAAATTCCGACGATATACGTCAAACTAAAAAATATTTAAAGATCACAACTTTAAATAAAAATTATTTGGATAAAAATAAAAATACAGATAAGAATTTTTTTCTACCTTTTTCCTTTTTTATTATGCATCAAAGATGTGCCAAAATCTTATAATAACACTTTCTCTATTAGACAACCAGCAGTTATATTTTTATTAATCCACTAAAATTAATTAGAAATCTTAACCTTTCCTTATAGCTTAACTTCTCGCCACTAACAAGTATAACACCATCGCGTTTAGTAACTTCGTTCTCAACTAACTAAAATTTCCCGCCAAAAAAAACTCATTAAAACAAAACGCAAGGCATGGCAAGTGTGAGTGAGAGTGAGTGTGTTGCACTGTTGTCACAACAAACTACGCAAATGAAGAACGGAAAACGAAGCGCTCTTTCAGATCTCACAAACTCAAGCCATTTTTCTTCTTCATCCGTTTCTTCATCAGCCACCATTGAACCAATCAAGAAAAATCAAATCAACATTCGGTACTCTTTAACTATCCTCATCGATGATTTTTTTTTCAACATTGTTACATAATCAATTATCATAATCACTTTTTTTCTCTCATCTTCGTTTTTAATTAACTGTTAGGAAAACCTGTTTAACTCCGCTTGACGTTAATCCATCAACCGTTCATCGCACAAAGGTACAACAATCATCTCATCTTTTCCCTAATTCAAATTTTCTATATACACATTTTTCACGATTTTTTTTTTGTAGTTAATTGTTTGATTGAATTTGTTTTCAGAATCAAATCAACACTGAACCTCTTCCTAGCGCGTTAACAGTTCGATGTAAAAAGGTATGTTCCGTTTCAATTACTCTTCCCACTCTAGTGTTGATTTTGATTTTCTTATAATGATGAAGTGTATGATCTTAATTTTCCCTAATTCAATATGTTATAATGGATATTTGCTACCGAGTACTTTTTGATTTATTTTGCTTAATTTGTTTTTAGAAGCAACGCATTGTGTCGAATGAACAAGAGGAGCTGGAGGATTACATTGAAAAGCAGAAGGCGTACTTCAAACAGATCGATGAATATGAACTTGAAGAAGAGGAGGTTGAAGAATATATTGATGAGTGATCTAGTATTTGAGTACTCGAAGCTAATACGTTAACGCAGTTAATGTAGTTAATAGTTGATGTTGATATATATAGTGTTCCGAATTCCCAATTTCTTAATAGGTTTAGGGAAAAGTTGTTTAACACTAGCAAATTGCTCTAGTTAGTAAATTGAGATCTTAGAAACTCTATCTTGTTTCATATAAAAGAAATTTGCAATTGGATAATTAGAGTATATACTTATCTTACAGTTCAAACATTGCAAAGAATTTGCATTTATGATTCCCTGAATGATAATTTGCCTAATGACAAGAGATCTTTATTGGACATAATTTTGGAAATATAGATGGACAATTAATTATCATTACTCACTAATTTTCAGTTGTGTTTTTTGCAATTGATTCTGATCTGTCCTTTGCTTCCTGTGAGGGGGTTCAGATTACTCATTTTGACCATGCCCTCGGCAAAGTCTTCGAAAAATTCTTCGTTATCATTAGCATATTTCTGCACCAGTTTATCAGTAGTGGGATTCCCATTGAATAATTCCTGGTCAGAATGGACAAGACCCTTTTTAGCAAGTAGATGCTTGTAGTATAGGTTATCGAAATGAGTCGGGGTTTGAAAGTCGAATGGTTGGTGAATATTGTCATTTCCAGTTCTGGGACACTTGCTCTGTAGTGACTTGGCAAATGAAGGGTCAATGTTGGAATCATTGTAGATATGTGCTCGAAACTGCGAACATCTGGCTAGCCCAATTGTATGTGCACCTGTTATTAAAGATGTTAGTTCAAATGAATTGCCATTAATAGTAGTAATAATATTATTGGTACCTGAAAGAGCTACCAAGTCCTTTTCTGAGAGTCCTTGGTTAGCAAAACTTGCTTTGAGTTTGTCAAGATTGAGAAAGGGTGCCGGAATAGACTTATTGGCGTCAGCCCTACTAGCTGTGATTGAATCCCTTCTTCCCAATCCTACTTCCCAAGAAGGGCCTCCTAGCTGAAAATTTCAACAATCATTCATCCGTGAATAGATTAACCAAATCCCTTTAATTAAGCCAATTATAGTATTCTATCGATTCATTATACTATTAAGGTATATGATATTACAGTAACAACGGAGTCTCGAGCAGCCAGAGCAAGAATATCAGCACAAGAAACAGTTCTTGGGCATGCTTTCTCGACGTTGGCTTTAATGTCATCAATCACGTTGAATCCTCTAGCTGAATTATTGTTGGCTGCTGCTGTTTTTTCTCCTATGAAACTGTTTGTATCATCCAATAATATTGATCCATCACAGCCCTGAGTAATCATTATATTAAAAGAAGCCAAGTTAAGTGAAACAGATAACTAAAATCAAGTTAATATATATATATATATATATATATATATATATATATATATATATATATATATATATATATATATATATATATATATATATATATATATATATATATATATATATATATATATATATATATATATATATATATATATATATATATATATATATATATATATATATATATATATATATATATATATATATATATATACACACACATATATACTCACGTTTACAAAGCAGTCGTGGAAATGCAATCGAAGTAAGGAAGCTCCTATGCGAGCTTCATTATGAATGGCTTTTATGACTCCTTGATTCACTATAAACAACAGTTTCGGGCAACTGTCGCAATAGAAATCTGTACATAACTCATTGCAATTTACTTCAGAAAGTGCAAAAGCAGCAACAAGAACAAACAAGAGGAAGTAGTAAGAAGCCATGTGAGCTTTCAGTGAGTACACAAACTAAACAATTGTTGCCTCATTTTATAACAACAATGATGAAGGATAATATTTGGAATATTACTTAAGTGAACCAATCAAATTTGAGTTGCTTTAAAGTGAAAAATAGAACAATGTTGGACTTTTTAAATGGAAATAATTCATGCTATGTTCGATTACTGGACAAAAAACTACAGCTGTTGGTATTACTAGTGTGTAGCAGCATTATTTGGCTAATTTCTAAATAATTAGATAACATGTATTTTTCATGTGTCTCTAAAACACACACTGTATCTATTAAAGTAGTATTTTCCGATATAGTAACAAACTAAAGGAGCAAGTATTATCGGTTGAAATGTCATTTTAGCATTTTGTTTTTACTGCTAAAAAGTTGTGGCAATAATGTGTCACTTTTGCATGAATTGCTCGAATCACTTTCAATTTGTGATACGAAGGTTCCCGAGAAAGTGGAAAGTGCATCTTGTTAGTGCAAGGTGATAAAATTGAGGAAGAAGAGAGAAAGGGAATAAATGTTAAAAGCTGTCACTCAAATGATTGAAGAAATTGATTGATATAAATGTAAACCTAGTACACCTATTTATACACAAATAAGAATGTCACATAGACCCTAATCAATAATATTTACAAATGACAAATACTAAATTACCCTCTAATACCATCCCGTAATTTAGTAGCTTATCAGAAGTTAACAACACCAATTTCATCTCTCAAACGAAGAAATTGGTCTGTTTTTATCGCCTTCGTCAGAACATCTGCCAGCTGCTTCTGAGTGCTACAATGCAGAACTTCTAACACTCCTTTCTGCACTTGACTTCTGAGAAAGTGATACTTCGTCTCAATGTGCTTGCTTCTTCCATGTAGCACTAAATTCTTTGCAAGATTAATTGCAGACTTATTATCAATCATCAGCTTCAGAGGTTCCTCAACTTCAACCTTCAGATCATGCAGCAGATTCAGAAGCCAAACTACTTGACACGCAGCTGCAGCACCTGCAATGTATTCAGCTTCACATGTTGACAAAGCCACAACCGGCTGTTTCTTGAAACTCCAAGAAATTGGACCTCCCAGAAACTTGAACAAGTACCCAGAAGTGCTTCTTCTGTCAACTCTATCTCCACACCAATCAGAATCAGAATAACTCAGAAGTTCTGATTTGATCTTTCCTCCAGAGTGAAATAACACTCCATATTTCAGAGTTCCTTTAATATACCTCAGAATTCTGACAGCAGCTTGGTAATGAGACCACTTTGGTTTGCTCATGTATCTGCTGACCATTCCAACTGCATAACAAATATCAGGTCTGGTATTACACAAATACCTCAGAGAGCCAACCATCTGTTTGAAGGTTGTAACATCCACATCCTCTCCATCAGAATCAGAATCCAACTTCTGATTCGTATCAGCAGGTGTGTGTTTACAGTGATTTCTGTTAAACAACCGCTAGTCCTCCAAACTATCGAATAAACTTACTGACTGTTATTCAATTTCTCTGGTAACTCGCAGAATCGACTAGATTGATCCTAGGACGTGTTAGTCATTAGGGTAACTCTCATGATCGAACAAGTATTCATGGTTGATATTTAGAATGTTGTATAGGTGTTTGACTTATTTCGATTTCTCTCTTAAAGATCTAAAGGTGTAATCAAAATATATGTGCGCGGAACTAAATTGCATGAATAAAGTTTAATTGTAAAGACATGTAAAAACTGCATAAAAGACAAGTAAATGACTTCGAAACGTAAAAATACAGTTAATGTAAAAGATTCGAAATGTGAAGAAAGCGTTTAATGCAAGAAAAACTGTAAAATGGCTTTAAGTGAAAAAAGGTGTTCGAAGGGTAAAAACTTGAAGATAAAGGCATGAAATGTATAACAGTTTCTGAAATGTAAAGTGTTTGAAATGGAAAGAAAGCATTTAAATGTAAAGCATCAGTGAAAGATTTCGAATGAAAGTACTTTGAATGAGAAAACTTGTAAATGGTATTTGACATAAATATAAAGGAAAGTACTGGAAATGATAAAGGGTTTTCATTAAATCATAAACATGTGGTGCTATCATACGTACATTGCTCTTGCATTCGTTTCCCTAGCCATGTGGTAATTTGAATGTTTACTGAGTTTTTCTTGTACAATAGATATGACACACGAAATCCTAATGCTAAGACTTCTATTTATACTACTTCGACCATAACGGTCTTGCTATAAGATTCTGCCACGTTCAGAACATGCAGAGCAATGCCTCTCTTTTGCTTCCACGCGTCTTCGAATGCTCCAGCGCATAAATTTCAAACTTCGAACATCCCGCTTGCATTTGAATTTCAAATGTTTTGGCACTTCCTCGCTTCGAACGCATTCCTTAGACACAACCTTGTTGTCATTTCGAGACTTCTTTGGATATATTCTCATAATTGCCACTCGAAGCTTCAAGATTTGATATGCTCATTCGAAACACTGCTTCTGCTATTTCGAAACATGACGTTTTGTTTCATTTCAATCGAAACGTCCAATTCACTTGGCTTCTAATAATATTATCAAAATCTTCAGCCAACAAAATGCCCCTTTAAAATATGTATTTCGATTCCTTTGAGAAATACTTATTTTAAACATATACACAAGATTTTGATGCGACCTTCGAATCATCGTAACATTTAATGCATTTGACTCCAGTCACGTCAATCATAACACTTTTTAGATTCCTTAACCGCCTTGAACCACTTCACAGTATGGTGCAGTTACAAACAATGATTATATTTAATCACGCCTACTATCAATGTTAACTTTACGCCACCTCTTCATCAAACCAACCCATGATTACCATGTATCACAACCTTACTCAGTGGATGCTTAAACTTCCACATTATAAAAACCATCAACTTAGTCTTTTTTTCTTTTCTTTCCACATTCTGAATCTTTTCTCCTTCTTTTCTCACCGAAACCCTAAGCTCTCAACATTCTTCCAACAATGTCTTCTTCTACTTCATCCCAACTAAAAAAGGTTTCCAAAAAGAAAGGAAAGACCGCAGGAACTACCATGGAAAGCAAGGTTGTCACTCACCAAGGTCAATCTGTTCTTGTTCCCCAGATGATCTCAAAGGAAAAAGAAATGCTTTATGAATCCCAGGTACTTATTCCTACCACCGCTGCTCGCAAGAGGTTATCTCTAATGGGCCCTCTTACAGTTTTTGTAATTTTAAAAGACACCAGGAAAATTTTCCCAG